GAAAAAGTAAGAAATACATAAAAGTCTCTGGTTAATAATTTCATCTTCATTATTGACCGTCGATTTGGGGTCCAGATTTGATGGCGGCCATGCAATCGCAATATTTAGCACTTCCGTTTCATCCTCCCAGCGACTTTAAATGACTAAATAATTTTTTCGTCTTTCAACATTTGTTACAGCTTTCCTATAACTCATGTTTCAATATATATTCTAGCAAAAATAATATTTACGAGATGTCAGTAAGCTTAAAGTAATATTATTTTAATCTGAATGACAATGTGACACTGTCCATTGATGTAAATCCCATATATCTTAAATAATAAGGCTTAAATTTCACGGGCAAGACTTTCATTTAGTCAGAGATTATGCCAACGTTGGAAATTATCTTGTTTAAATTTGACATTTAATATTTACATTTATTTTTAGATATTGAAGTTTATATCATTTGCATAATAAATTCAGAGAGACTGTAGATTTTATTAAGGATTGAAATTACTAGGCTTTGTTTGCAGTACTAACATGCTAACTGTAAATCTTAAGTGACTTATTCATACTACATTAACGTCCATCTCTTGCATTTACACATGAAAGATGCTGGATATCTAAAGTATGGTGAGTTAGCGCGATGGGGTTATAAAAAGGTTGAAATCTTGACTTCATCTGCCAGGAGAAAAACCCCAAGAATCTGAAATAGTCGGGCGTAGCTATATTTTACTATCCGGCTTCCTTTATGATTGTACTTAGAAGGCGAGTGTTTTAACAGTTGAACGAATGAGCGGCGAAATGACGGCTGTCTGTCATGGTTCGATCATTAGCGGGTTGGTAGGAGGGTTGTCGAGTCGGCAGGAGGAAACCATGCGTGTTTTCACGGGGTATGGGGAAGAAGATGGTGTAGTTGTGGTAGTGCTGCAGGAAGCTGTTGACTGTGGGTTTTGTACAGAAGGCAACAGTAAGTGTAGAAGCTACAAAAAATTAAAAATCAAAGCTGAATAAAAACAGGTTTTTCCTTTACTTTTGACCGCCGCCCATTTCAAGATATTTGCAGGGTCCGTATCGGTTGTGAAGAAATTACGCATGACGATCTTTGCCCCTTTGTCATGAGAATCATATTTTGACTTTTGCGGCTTGTAAACAAGACTGAGATTGCAGGGTTCAGAGAGATAGATAGATAGATAGATAGATAGATAGATAGATATGAACAGATATAGAAAGATATGAATAGATTAAATTGCATTACTCAATATTCACTGTTTAGTCTCCGTAAAAGTTCAGCAAGCGTGAATAAATGTTAATGGTTTGGGTTATTTCAATAAGGACGATTTCAATGGCACATCAATGGTTTGGATATATATTAAAAAGAATTATAAATTTGTTTTGCACCGTTCGATGCCACATAATTTCATGCACGTCGCAATCATCAGGCACATGCATTGGCATGTACATGAAACTTTAAGTAGCATCGAATTGTGAGAAGGTTTAATATAGATTTTAAATGTTATATTACACCGAGCACTATTATATTAATAGCAGCTCACACTGTATGCTATATATATATAAATAAATAAAAATAGCCATTTTGTTTCAACACATCTCATGTCTTGTCAAGTGATGATGTTGATTGTAAAATTTTACAATCAACACCATCTTAATTTAAACAAATATTATTCGGTCTACTTTGTATTGACCACTGTTTTTAAATATATCGCATTTGGTTAGTCGAATTTATTCCATCTATAACAACCTTGTATTCGTATATATATATATATATATATATATATATATATATATATATATATATATATATATATATATATATATATATATATATATATATATATATATATATTAAAGACATTTTTATGTTTAACGTTCTTTTTTTATAGATAAAAGTATTTAAGTAAATGCTCTGTTTATAATAAACAGTATTAAATAACATTTACCGGCCTGAATGTCCGAGAAATTTTCAGAGAAAATATTCGTCCTTTGACAGGATTCGAACCTGCATCCTATACGGAAGCGTCATTTACGCTGACGTGCCTTATCGATCGGCCACAAGGAAGCGTTCGGTAAGGCACGAATGTATGAGAAAAAAATCATGGAAAATTGTAGTTTAAAAGCAGTAAAATCGCCCTAGCTAACCGAAACGATCCTCTGTGGCTCAATACGTATAGTTACACACATAAAACAATACGTATGCTGAAAGAATCCTCGGTCTGACTAATAAATATGAAACTTATATGCGATTTCATATATTCAATCGACGTACTTAAAATATCCTTTCTTTAATTTCTTTAACCCTTCAAAAAGATTTATAACATTTCATCCTGAACATACTGATTTTAGGAAATTGGTCGGGCTGAGAACTTTTTAGCACCCTTTCATAATCTTTAGACTGTAATCTTTAGTTTCATCGCCCTTGCCCATTTCCGTTCGCGCATGCTCACTACATCCAAGTAATTATTCACTCCAATTCACTTCTGTTCACACATGTTTTTAATGTAAGGATTAAATTTTGCATGTCAATATGCGCAGTTGGGTTACCATATGTTCATGTAACCATTAGTTGTAATGCTCGCTTACATACATTTGTGTTCCTATTAATTCCTTCCTGAATTAATCAGTTCTTTCTCTCTCTCTCTCTCTCTCTCTCTCTCTCTCTCTCTCTCTCCTTCATTCTTTCTTTTTTTCTCTTTTCTTTACAATTCGTCTTTCTCTCTATGTTGGGCCTGCTTCGCGACAAAGAATTTTTCCCACCGACGTTAGAGATGTTGGTATTCGAGCCAGGCATTTCGTATGCTGATCTTTTTTAAAGCTAGCAAGTTTCCTTATTTTATAAAACTGACGCTACACATTCTTTCGACTCTGAATTTGTCTAACTTTGTGTTGTGTGAGTTTAAGACAAGATTGAAGGCATTAGGTTCCAATGGATCAATATTTAAACTTATTTAATAAGTATGCATTCTCTCTCTCTCTCTCTCTCTCTCTCTATCTCTCTCTCTCTCTATATATATATATATATATATATATATATGTGTGTGTGTGTATGTTTAGGCTGCAATTTTTTATTGATGCATGTTTCATTAAATAATATAGACAAGTTTTGACTATTTATTTTAAGTAAGTTCCTTTCATATTGTCTGATCAGCTTAATAGCATTATGCAAACCAGAGTATGAATGCTGATACCATTACTGAAGGACTGAATGATCTTTTTCCTCTCACCATTATGAAGACTTAGTGGGGCTGACACAAAATTATTTTAACCTGTTTTCTTTCTAGCTGAATATCTCAAAGGGTTTTAGTGATTTTTACGAGAACTCGTATCAAGATATCTAAACGTCTTAAATGAAAAAATTGAAAAAGAAACTCAAATAGTTTAGTGATTTTAGATCTTAAACATTTTGTGAGATGAATAATTATGTTACACGATTTGGAGAATTTTCATGTTACACCCAGTATATTTCATGCTGATCGATTGCGTGATGATCGATTAAGGAGTGAAGCTAGATGTCACTATTTTGCAATTCTTTGTTGATTTCTATACCGATATATATATATATATATGTGTGTGTGTGTGTGTGTGTGTGTGTGTGTATACATTGCAGTAATCAACGCATAATGATAACTTCCAATTTCGCTCCTTAAGTGTTCATCAGGCATTTTGATGACCTTGAAGTGTTAATATATATATACTCGACTCTCCCGTCGTATTTGACGTATGAGCGTCAAGCAGCTCAGTTCCTAGGAACCGACAGCCCGACACCAGCACATCAGATTCGATTATAGTGGTGAAGCTTTTGTGCAGAACCAGCCACACTTTTTGAAGGGCCGAATACAGAGACCTGGTACGCTGCAAGGTCCTCAAACGACCCTCCGCAGGCTTTGAATCCAGAGTTGTCCTTCTCGTAGACCAGTTGCCATCCAAGGCTATAGAAGCCAGTCCATCCTGCTATTTATCCATAGCTAGATGAAGAAGAAGAGGATTAATACCTTTCCCAAAGGTATTAGCACGTAAGTGAATGTAATACATTCAACTGGCATTCGAACGCGGCTCTCTGATTCCTCAATCCGGGTCGCTATCCACTACACACACACACACACACACACACACATATATATATATATATATATATATATATATATATATATATATATATATATATATATATATATATATATATATATATATATAAACAAAACCCAAACGGACCAAATTAATGTCATGAATCAGATACTCAGAAGTCAAGTATTCTGCTGGCTTGATGCTAAACATACATTGATATATACATATCATCTCATATCGCTTATATGCTGGTGGCGTGTGTGTTAGTGTTTATGTAATATGTGATAGTCTGTATATTCCAATACTGTATCATTTGATTTCTTTTCTTCTTTTATTTTGAGGGTGTTCCCAAAGTCACCTATGTATATTTCTTTGTTGTTTTTTTCAGAACTTAGATTAAACATTAACCACATATTTTCTGAAAAAAAGAGAATGAAATGTATGAAAAATAATTAGGTGAGGTTTAGAATACTTTTACATTCTAGAAAGAAAGAAAGAAAGAAGATTGCGTTTATAGGTAGTTTGATATGAACTCGATGCAAGTGACTAAATCAATTTTTATACATCAGATTTTTGCCGTAATTATTTAACGTATTTATCAGAAATCTGTCGCCACCGATTGAACCTCGATATCCTGTATGTTGATTTTGTCATAATAATAACGCCATCCGAGTTGTGCACAAGCCAGTAAGTGTCTGTTTCGTGGCTTCCCATCAGCGCTAGAAAAACAATGCTTTTACCCTAACTTACCTCCACCCTGACCGTGTTTTGACATGATTGATTGATGGTAGTACAGTGTCAACGAATAGTTGAATAAAATGCCTCCTTTTGGCTTATCAATGGACGTGTGCGTTGTCGTTATCTATTACATGTCTTCCGTCCGTCGTCATTCACTGTCCCTTAGTCTAGCATCAATCACATCTGTGGAATGTGCGGAATTAGACTATGATAGACAGGTACATAGATAGATAATGAACAAACTGAGATAGATAGATAAATATGGACAGACTGAGATAGATAGATAGATAGATAGATAGATAGATAGATAGATAGATAGATAGATAGATAAAAGAAATTTCATTAAAATTGTCAGCTAATATGTTTCCGGTTATTAATCTGCTTAACACTGCGAGTCTTTGTAAACTTTATGCGGACATGGATTTGCCCGAAAAAATAGTTCAATTCACTTTTACATAATAAGCATTAATATCAATATGATTTAAATATCAAAAGTTTTAATTAACATTTGGGTATTTGCTGACTGATTTACTCATTTTCCATTAATCATTGTGTCATGCCATCGACGATAAGTTTTTTTTAAGAGAGATAACTGGCAATGGAAAAGTATACAAAGATATGGATTGATCACAATTCTTGTTGGTGTTCGTGTAGTGCTACAGGAAGACACAAAAACGGGCAGAGAGGATCCCCAGACGATGTTATGTCGAAGAGCAGAGTCTCGTCTCGGGAAACAGCTACCCGACCCTGTTTTATACGGGGTCTACGGGTAATTTTTGGCCGAGCCTACGGGCGCGGATACCCCACATTCGTCCTTGTGCTACATCTGACCGAATTCAGTAAATACACAAAAATAGAAAAAAAATTCAGCAAATAGATAAAAATAGAAAAAGAATTTAGTAAATACACAAAAAGTGAAAAAGAATTCAGTAAATACACAAAAATTGAAAAAGAATTGTGTAAATACACAAACATAGAAAAAGAATTCTGTAAATATACAAAAATAGAAAAAGAATTCTGTAAATATACAAAAATAGAAAAAGAATTCTGTAAATGCACAAAAATAGAAAAATAATTCAGTAAATGCACAAAAATAGAAAGTGGTGTAAGACAAGTTATTATTGGCTGAGGCAATCTTAACAACAAAGACAATGTATGGTTGTCAACAGGAGGAACAGCCCAAGATGGGAACTACGTATTGTATATATTGAATTCATTCAAGTACGAAAGCGCATTAAAATAAGGAAATATGCCTTCCAAAAGCTAAGCAAATTATTAAGAAACAGGAATTTTCTGTTAGGAACAAAGAAAAGAGTGCTGAACTATTATGTAATATCCGTTCTCCTATATGGAAGTGGGTGTTGGACATCTCAGATGAAGAAAAGTCTTGAGTCAACAAGTCAAAATTGTGCTTAGTAAATAATCATGCTTTGCTGACTAACTTTTATTCTAATATTTATTCCGAAAGTGTTTAATAAACTATCAAGCAATAAACGTAGCTAATAAATATTAAAGGCGGGAATTTATGCAGTAGCGGAAAGATTGTAAAAAGAGGAGTTTAATGGGATAGTTTTGGTCGATAACAACAAGATATTCCATAAAAATCACGTAAACAGCAACATAATTTTACAGGAAGCGAAAAACCTGAAAAACAAGTTGCCACAATAATTGAGTCAAACCGGTTTATTTTATTTATTTATTTTGCTACCACTGGCATGATCGCCACCACTAACAATAAGAAAAACTGCAGCAAAAACAACAACAACAACAACGATAACAGGAACGCCGAGAAAAACAATAAAGAAAACCAATGAGTAAGAGCTGCAAACATCTGGACAAATGAGGCTCGCGTTACGAGCGACATGATACATCGACATTTACGCTCGCCCTCAAGTCCTGTAGGCTCAGTGTGTAGGGATACAGCCCCCAGTTGCGGTTGTTTCCAAAGCAAGTAGCAGATTTTTACGGTATACGGTTGCTAGCCATATGCCCAATTGATTTTGAATTCAAAGTTGTCCTTCTCCTCGGCTGTTTACCGGCCAATGTCAAAAGATCCCATAGCTGGGAGAAGATGAGATAGATTCATATTTTCCGAAGTGAATGCAATGAATTCGACTGGAAATTGAACTCGGCTCTCTAATTTTTCATTCCGAACCGCTGTTCATTACAGCACTTGTCGATCCCCTTAATCCCTGGGACCTAAAGCGCACACTGGGAGATAAACTCATTGATACGTAAAAATGGACAGACACAGAGGCACATATACACACATCGTGGAGAAATGGTGAGCAAACTATCCTAGCTAAACATAATACTCTAGTGAGCTTGATTATTACTGAGTGCCATATGCGGACATGCTCCACACCAAACTGAATAAATAACAACACCGAGTCTTTTCGCAAGCTAATAAATACCGAAGGTGACATAGTAATTCTGTAGTGTGTTTGATCATCAGTAAATGCTCTACACACGTCTACTTTCCCATGAAACAATGATTAGCAAGTGGACTCTTACTAGTGCAGTGAGTTCGATCCTCGCTAGACGCCCACAGTTGTTCCATTTTACTGATCTAAGTTAAGCATAATAAATATTGAAGATCACCTTCTTTAGAGAGTTTACACACTGTATTGCGTGCATTTACAGAAAAGTATTTTTAGGCACCCATCAAAAGGATTTATACCAGTAAACTGAATATGTGCGCATATCAGAAATCATTATATATCCTCCTTATACTCATAATTTTCATTTCCTACCACTTTTTCAATTCATATCACACCTCTTTCACCATAAACATTTTAAGAGTAATTCTTTGCCCTGAGTAGCACTCGAGGCTTGTATTTGATGAAATTTAATATTAAAAACTGAAAAGTAAAAGAGGGAGAGATAAGAATGTATATTGACAAATATGTAGGAATAGACTTAGATATAAACAAAATTAGATAGATAGATAGATAGATAGATAGATAGATAGATAGATAGATAGATAGATAGATAGAATGCGGGAACAGCTGCGAAAAAACTGCTTTGAAGGTGTTTAAAAACTACGAGCCTGTAATGTTAAAGGTGTATAAATTACAATATTAAATCAAGTGTAAGCATTAATGTCTTCCTCTTTTCTCGAGCGCTTTACGCAAAAGTTTGTAAGCGATTTGTTGGGTGAACTAATTTAGAAAAAAGTAAAAAAAATAATCAGGCAAAGAGTGAAATAAAAAAAAGAAAGAAATGGACTATAAAAATTCGCCGATGACGAAAAGAAGTTGAAAAAATTAAATAAAAAAAAAATAAAGCTTGAACAATTTATCTTATTTATAAGCAAAAGTACTCAAAAAACATCATGATTAATCATACACACAAGCACACATACACACACAAACACACACTTTCGTGCGCTGGCACACACAGATTTTTCTGTCGCACGGCGTTTTTCACACACAAAGTTTTTTTTGTTTTTTTTCTCTCGCTTCAAATGATCTTCTTATAACTCAAAGATTCTATGGGAGTGTGTGTTGACATTTTTAATAGCATATTTTGAAAATCCAATTAATGTTATAAATTATTAAATAACATATCTTATTAGAAAATATCACCCAAAGACGACGCATCGCTGCGTATCAGACGAAAAACCAACAGAATTGCAAGTTTCTACTTATTCCTGCATGCAGAATTTAATATTAAATCACATTAATGTCATTTGTGAAAATTATTGGCAATTCTTCTTCGTCTTCTATAGAGCAGTGTCCTTTCAGGACAAGGTAAATCATGGGTCTCCACAACTTCCTATCATTTGTAGCTCTTTGTAAGGTTTGCCTTTGCTATCTTACTCAATCCCTGTTCTGATGTCCATCTTCACAAGTTTATTAGGGCAGTTACTCGATGCTTTCCTCTGTTCCTCTTTCTTTCAAAATGCCTTATGTGTATTAAATTCCAGAAGCCCTCTTTCCTCATTGTACATCCGAGAAACAGTCTCATTGTGATTCTAAGTATCAACGTTTTTTTAGTTTTCATTTTCTTTAAAACTTTCTCGTTACATATTCAATCCATGGCGTTTTCAACATCCTTGTATAAAACCACATTTTTGTTGTCTCAAGTCTTTTCTTCATCTGAGATATCCAACATTTATTGCCATACAGGAGACGCCAAGGGATCATCATTTTACAGTTGAAATGACTAAAACGTATACTAGTGCCAGAAACGGGGAAAGTAGCAGTTCGAATTTGTTAATATGAATTCGGATCACACTTCATCAGAACAAGGGACAAGTTAGTCTACCAAGGTAAGGTAATTGTTATATGATCAACTGACGAAATAGATGATTAACAGAAAAATTACAGAGCTAATAAATAGTGGCGATATGCTTGAATAACTTACTAGATTCATTTTCATTTTTCACTATTTATGCTCAGAATGAGCAATACAATTGAAGAAGGATGTATACTTATGTTTTATTTTTCAAAAGCATTTGATAAAATATGACATCTGACACTAATGTACGTTTTAGTCATTTCAACTCTAAAATGATAATATCTTAGCACCACTCAAATATTACGCATATATTTATAAAGTCTAGGTACCATAGAGGAAAGTTCATCAGAACAATTACCATGAAAATATTTATAGAAAAGGCAGAGGACAGCTACGTTATGGCGCTGGGAAAGTGAGTGAAGCCGAGATGCCAGGTTAGGATCAATGATATTGCAGATACTTGGAATTTATCGAGAATTTATAAATAAATAGCAGAAACATCAGAGCAAATGCGATAGCAATATTCAATGCATGGATGAATGGTAGAGTTATATGTAAGATAGATTCTGGTGAGAAGAATCTTCTAGCACGAAAACAGTGAACCAAATTTCCTAGCAGATGATCTAGAAATTAATTCAATATTATCATTTCACTTAATCGAAAACATGAGTCACTCTCCTGGAGGTTGGTATCAGCCATGCTGATGGAAGGCAAAACGTTTCCTCAGACGAGTAAAAGAAATCAGTTTTGTGTTGCAGACTTTAAAATTAACAAGCCAACAACAAACCTCGTTTACAAAAGATTGTATATTATTTTTTAGATCAGTTACCAATTTGACCTTATGAAACATATCAGACTTAACATTAAGATAGGAGTTAATATTTGTGTTATCATGTCAGCATAGATATAGAATTGAGAACTGGTGACATCAAGAAAGTCGTTGATGAAAATTAGGAAAAATGTAGGATATAGCCCCGAGGGGACCCCTGCGTTAATGAAAAAATCTAGAATATTGGCCGTTCAAGAAACCTTGCATTTCGTGATTTGATATAAAAGATTGAATCAGATCAAAAATTCGCCCAGAAGTAACATAATCATGTGAAATGCCTTCGAGATGTGTCCAAAGCAACAACCCGAGCTTTACCATTCTTATCTAAAGATTTATAAACTATTTCAGCAATAACTGTTAACTCATCAGTTGTTGACCTAGAGAAGTGAAAGCTATATTGTTTGTCTGAAATAAGAGCCCGCAAGTCGAGATGCTTAACCATTTCAGAGTTGATTAGAGCGTGTAGTACTTTACCAAAAAAGGCGGAAGGATAACAGGCCGATAGTTATAAGGATCGGACGCTTCGTTCAGTTTAAAAAAAAAGAATGGTGCCACTGAAGAAGATTCCCAAGAAGCAAGAAGTAGCAAGATCATTTATTGTAAAGTTTTAGTGTTAACATGAACCTGTTCATAAGCACAATTCTTAAGGATTATTGCAGCGATACGATCGAGCCCGCATTTTTTCTTGGAATTCAGTTTAGAGATCGTAGCAGAAACCATGGACGGAGTTATATTCATATAACACGATAGAAACTCAATTCTGACTGGAAAGTTCAAAGGTATTCCTAGAATTTCTTTAACAGTACAGGAACAATATCACTTTTATATCAAAGTAATATTTATTTATAAAAACGTCTGTGTTCTTGAGCTTGTGTTTGCGTGTCTAACGTATTCGTCCCCAAGATTATTTTCCTTATATTTTTTATTAATCTTTCCAAATTTGATTTGATGAAATTTAATTGTGAAGGGAAAACAGTTGAATATGGGAATTGATAATGAATTCAAGGGAATTAATATTTATTCTGTCCAAATGTTTTTTATTACTTATTTGATTTTTCCTTCTTTTGTCTTTCTTTCTATTTTTGCTTCCTTTATTTCTCAGTTCTTTATTTCTTCAGTTTTTCTACCTTAAATTCTTTCTCCTTTTTTTCTTTCTTCAGTTTTTACTTTTACTAAATTTAATTGTTTTGTAGTGAATTTAGTTATTGTTTTTTTTTTCTTGTTAGTTTTTCTGTTTTTCAATTTCGTTACCTCTTGAATGAGGTTTATTGAATTTAGTGGCTTATCTTTATTCATTCATTGTTATACTTTATCGTTTGTTTCTGGTAAAATACCAAAGATACTTTGTTTTTTCGACAAAGTTCATTTTATACAGCAGTCACTGAACGACGTGCTGGTTATTTTTTATTTCAATTCTTCGCATTCAAACATATATTTTATTGTTTTCTTTAAGACTCTACCAACGTGTCATAATTTATAATCAAACAGCAACATTGGCTCCAGCCACAGAAATAGCTAAGGGCTTGACGAAAGCATCCTGAGGTTAGGGGAAAGAGAATTTTTCGCATCTTTCGCTTGTAGTAAACCGCAATTGTTTTTCTGTATTTAAATAATAATAATAATAATACATAAGAATATATAAGCTTATATAAAACTGATGACATCAGCAACAACGAAAATAACGCCAACGTTTCGACCGTTGTGCCACCCGGCCGTCTTCAGTTGCTTGTTTACCCGGGTAACGTTCAGGGAATTTCAAACTGAACACTCTATTTAATATAAGGTTCTAGATTGCAATGACTATGTCTGCATACCTCGTCGACTATGTATTTAGTAGTGCTTAATGTCTTGCTTTGCCAGCGGAACGAGAACAATCTACTCCTGTAGTTTTAATTGGAAATTCCCTGAAGGTTACCCGGATCGGCAAGCACCTGATGAAGGCTGGCGAACACAACTGCCGAAACATTGTGATAATAACAACAAGAATAAGGAAAATAGTTCGTGATATTTTAACAATAAAAATTCATTATCTATTTTTCGTACAATTTTGTAATCCGCAAAAGATACAGACACAAATTCATATGCTCTCTCTCTCTCTCTCTCTCTCTATATATATATATATATATATATATATATATATATATATATATATATATATATTTCATTAAATATGGAAAACAAGGCACAACTTTTTATTTAATATTTCTTGCGTCCGAACAAGTAAAAACGCTCGGAATTAGAGAACAATTGAACAGTTTCTACACACTCTATGTCCAGAAAAATCACTTGTTCGAACAGAAAAAAAATTAAAGAGAATCTTAATCGCAGTATGTTGTCTATCGCCTTTAATGAAAAATATATAAATGAAGGATTGCTACTTAAATACACAATTATATATATATATATATATATATATATATATATATATATATATATATATATATGCGTTTTGTTGCCTCGATTATTTAAAAATAATAGTCAATGGTGCATTAGGGGTAGCAAAGTCTATTATATTATCCTAACGGTAACAGGTTTTATTTTGAATTGTTTAATAACCCAACTCATGATAGATAAGCTCAAGAAAAAATAAAAATAAGCAGAAACGAAGTAAAAATCATCAGGTAGTGTCGGAAATCGTTATTATTCGACAAGAAAGACAACTTTCGACGTTACATTGGAAAGTTTTGATGGATATTTATACTTGGGGTAATAGCAGATGTTTCAGGGATGTTCCAGTATTATCTAGTATATATACAACATTAAATAATGATTTCATTTTGAATTTTCTTGAAGATTAACCGAATCGATACTCAACTGAAGAAGTCCAAAGTGAACAACTGTTTAAATTCGTGATAAAAACAACGAAGACGGGGACACATGTAAATGATTAAAAATAATGACGGTGTAATATAATGATTACCAAGATACATTCAGAATTTTTACTATCAAAT